GAATAATGCTGTAGTAAACATGGGAGCGCAGATATCTCTTCAGTATTCCTATTTCAGTTCCTCTGGTGATATACCCAGAAATGAGATTGCTGGATCATATAGCAGTTCTATTTTTAATTTTTAAGGAAACTTCATACCGTTTTCCATAATGGCTGTATCAGTTTATATTTCCAGCAACTGTGGATAAAATTGGGCCCTTATTTCACACCGCATAAAAAATCGGTTCAAAATGGATTAGACTTAAATGTAACACCTGAAACCTTAATAACTAATCTAAGAAAACACAGGGAAAAGGCAACAGTTATTTTGGATGTGACAGTAAAAGCACAGGCAACAGAAGCAAACAAGTGGGATTACATCAAACTAAAAAGCTGCACAGCAAAGGAAACAATCAACACAGCAAACAGGGAACCTATCGAATGGGTTTTGTAAGCCACGTACCTGATATGATGTAATGTCCAAAATGTATAAGGAATTTATACAACTTAAAGCAGAAACCCAAATAGCCCAATTACAAAATGGGCAAAGGGACCTGAATAAACATTTCTCAGATGAATAGTTACATATGGCCGATAGGTACAAGAAAAAGTGCTCAACATGACTAATCATCAGGGAAATGCAAATCAAAACCACAGTGACTTGGCACCTCACACCTGTTAGGATAGCTCTTATCATAAAGCAAAAGATTACAAGTGTTGGCAGGAAGGTGGAGAAAGGGGAACCCTCCCACTGACTTCTAATAATACTACTCTACCCCATTATTTAAATGGTTGTATAGTATTCCATTTTATGTGTATTTGAATGATTATTTAACCAGTCTTTTGCAACTGCAAGCAGTGCTACAAAGAATATTCTTCTACATAAGTCTTTGTGTTTACAGGCAAGTGTATCTACAGGATAAATGCCTGAAGTATTATTGTAACAAGGGGAACGTGCATTTTGCATTTTGATCGGTTCTGCCAAGCTGCCCTTAACACAGACTACATTAATTTACCACTCTACAAGAATGTATGAAACTACCTTATTTCCCTCACTATCAATAAACTTCTATACTTTTGCCTTTCTGATAGGTGAACTATAATATTACATCATAGTTTTAATTTACATGTTTCAAAACTCATGAGTGTGATTGAGCATCTTCCCTATGTTTAGAAGGTATTTGCTAGAAATATATTCAGCTACAGGAAATAAAAAGCCAACTAACAATGGCTTGAAAAGATGGGAGAATATTTGTTACATGTGACATGCAGGGAAAAATTAGGGCATCAGTGGAAAACTGCATTGTCTAGAACACAGTGGGTTATCTTATTCTGATTCTATCGGATCTATTTTACAACTTTGTAAGTTTTAGATAACTGATAGCAAAACAAAATAATTCTAGTCTATAGACACACAAATGAATTATGCCCAGTAGAGGGATAAATCTCCTCTACTGTCCCCCTCAATGGAAAAACCAGTTTGTACATTTCAATATTCCTCATCTAAATATGTATCTGTTCTTTGGACTGTAACACCTTGGCAGTGTTAAAATCTTTAACACAAGTTCATTTTTATAATATATGAGAGCCATGATTTTACCTTACTTTGAAAATTATCTTTCAACAAATACGAAGTCTGAAGGTAGGCAGTTTAGGGGCTCAGTGATGCCATCAGGGAACCAGGGTTTCGCCAATTTTTCTGCCTCACTATCGTTTTTTAAGAACTTAATTAATTTTAATTTTGGCTGCGTTGGGTCTTCGTTGCTGCGCGCGGGCTTTCTCTAGTTGCAGCGAGCAGGGGCTACTCTTTGTTGTGGTGCACGGGCTTCTCATTGCGGTGGCTTCTCTTGTGGAGCACGGGCTCTAGGCGCGTGGGCTTCAATAGTTGTGGCTCACAGGCTCAGTAGTTGCGGTGCACAGGCTTAGTTGCTCCGCAGCATGTGGGATCTTCCCCGACCAGGGATCGAACCCGTGTCCCCTGCATCGGCAGGCGGATTCTTAACCACTGTGCCACCAGGGAAGTCCCGGCAATCACTTTTAGCTCCTTAAGCATTTAACCCCCCCTGGTTGTTCCTGCCATATTGTTTGATGATATCCTTATATTGATATTTATTGATCAATTTTAGTATATTTAGTGTCTTTCTAAGGACAGATGGAATTAGTTCTCTTAACCCTCCTTCCCTCTTTCATCAGTATTTTCTGTTATGTGAGCAATCAAGGTATACTAGTCATTATAATGATATAAATTTTGCTCACTATAAAGTAGAATTGCATTTTCTTTCTTATACAACTTTATGTTTTTCCCCAGAGAGAATAGTAACCTCAGTTGTAACTTATCTACTTTCTCATATACAGTCCCATTGCTTTCTTGAAGTCCTATTGAGTTTACTTTTTTCCTGGCAAAAAGCTTTGTCTTTTTGCTCCAGTTTGTCCTGGTTGCTTTCTAGGTTTACCTGTGCAACCATTATACTGGGATTTCTGTTTTGCTGCTCTCCTGGGTTAAACCTGTGCTTTTCTGGATCCCATGAACTCCTTGTTCTTGATTTAACCCTTGATTTTGCTGGGGCTGGTACCTCCAGGAGCTTCTTAAGAAAGAATGGAGACAATCTTTTTGAGTCCATTCATATCTGAAAATGTCTCTATTCTGCCTGTACACTAGATTACCATTTTGGCTGGAAATTCTGGATTGTAAATATTTATTTCCACAGAAATTTGAAGGCATTCCTCCACTGTCTTCTAGCAATCAGAATAACCATTCTGATTCTTGAGCTTTTACAGTTGATTATATTTCTTTTCTTGAAGAGTTTATGATCTTCATATACAATTGATGTGAAATTTCTTTCTTTTTCTTTTTTTTTTTTTTGGCTGCACCATGTGGCACGTGGGAACTTAGTTCCCCGACTAGGGATCGAACCTGTACCCCCTGCATTGGGATCACGGAGTCTTATCCACTGCGCCAGCAGGGAAGTCCCCTACACTATCCTCTTACTGTTATCAATACTTTCAACTGACTCTTTTTATGTTTCCAAGTATACATTTATCTCCATATAATAAAAATTTTGTCTCCCCTTTTCTGGTGAATGGGATCTTCTTTTCCTCCACGACATCTTTTAAGTCTTTGACGCTAGAATATAGGAAAGCCATAGCCTTCTTTCATTTCTTTCCCTCTTTCTTTCTGTATACCCATACATAACACGTTCTGCACACAAATATATCTTTCTTCCAAATACCTTACTGAATTCTTTAGTTTTTAGTGGATTTTTCAGGTTTTTCAGCTATAAATCATTTTACCTGACATACTGATAGTTTCTTTCTTACTTTTTTCTTTCCAGTTAACTGCCCTGCCCCCTCTAAAGTCTTATAGCTTGGTCAGGCTCTCCAAAACTTTAAATGAAATTGATGAGAGTAGGGGTATTAATATCCGTCTCGACTTTAACAGGAATTCTTCTGGTGTATCACACAGTCTGAGATTCATTGTGGTCTTCCGAGTCTTTATTAAATTAAGGTTTCTTTGAATACCTAGTTTACTGAGAATTTTTTTGTTTTTAAACTCGGTCATCGATGTTAAATTTATCAGTGCCTTTGTTCGTGTAACGATCTGACTGTTGTCATTGCGCATTGTTTAAAAAAATGTAATCCTGGACTTAATCTGCTCGTATTTTATTTAGAAACTTTGCATCAAACGCCTTCACAAAGGAGAGAGCCCGGGCATTGGGAGCGGACGCCTGGTGCTCGTGGGAAAGAATTACTTAGTTTTAAGGAAGAATAAGAGGGTCCGGGACTATTTGCTCCCCAGTGGACCGGGAGGGTCAACAGGGACATCCTTTCTTCTGAGCTTGGGGAACACTACGAAGGTTGGAAGCAGATTTTAAGTTTCTAATAATGACGCTGAGATCTCTGCCAGACCGCCACTGGATGGCGCGCGCAACCAGCGGAACCAGCGGGCGTCGCTCCGCGGCGTTTGGGGAAGGATAATTAGAGCGCTTCTCCGAGCTTTTCATTAGCTAATTCTGCAGGAGTCCCGCCTTCCAGGTCTCCTCATTGGCTGTCGGCCCAGGACTTTGGTCAGCCCCTCCTGGGGTCTTGAAAGGGGTGAAGGACCGCCCGAGAGGTCTGGATTTACAAGGACCTATCAACCAGGGCCTCCCGTTGGTCAATCAAACAGGAGGCCCTCCCCCCCAAGACTTCCCGTTGGCTTCTGCCCCGCGCCTGTCGCTTTGGCTTTGGAGTGGCTGAGGTTCTCCTTAGCACTTTAGCCGGGCTTCCTGGGCGGAGCCGATGCACTTCGGATGGTTTTTATCCCTCTTTGGGGCTGTTTGCCTTAGACCCGCGCCACACAGGGCTGGACGAGCTTCGGGAGACAGCTGGAACTGGGGCGGAGTTAGGGGGCTCATCAGTGCCTCCCTCAGTAGGAAACGGCTGGAGGGCGGGGAGCGATGTCTTTGCTATAGGCTAGAGATCTGGAGTATGGGGTAGAGTCCTGAATGGGGAAGGAGATCATTGTGGGCAGCTCCTACCCTTTCCTGCCAGAGCTGGGAAGGCATGTTCCTTCCCTAATAAACACATTACACTCCAAACTCCATCTCAGCAGCTGCTTCTGGAGAACGCAACCTGTGACACTGCCTTGATGGCATCATCGCTCACCACTCTTAATTATTTCAAACTGCCTAAAACTCTTTGCATGTACCGTGCTGTTTAAAGTTCCTGTGCTTTTATTCATACCATTCCCTTTGCCTCAGTTTTCCTTCTTTCTTTTTTTTATCAACATAACTCCTTTTTCCTGTCCTTCCAGACCCAGCTCAGGGGATATCTCCTCCTTGTCTTCTGTCCCTTGGTTTGGTTTGCCTCTCTATGCTCTCCCACCTCCCTGTGGATACAGGATACTACTTACCTGGTGGGTGCAGTATGAGGTGTGTCTTGCACCCAGAAGTGATGGACTCTAGAGCAAGAAGGGACCCAGGACTGCCTGACAGGGTGATTGTGGTTCTGCAGTGGGAGCAGCAATAGTGTAACTCCTTTGGGTCAGGTAGCAGTGAGGGGGTTATTTGCCTGCAGGTGGGAGGGACAAAGTATGGAAGGTCAGGTTGGAGACAGAGAAGTGCCCTGAGTTGCTAGTGAAATCTGGGGAAAACAAGGAACATTCATACCCAGAGGAACCAGCTGCTGCAGTCCCTTATCCTGGTAAAAATTCTTATTTAGACCTAACTCTTACCGAAAACAGTGCAGCACGCAGGGCTCCATTTTAACTTCACCCTCACCCAAGCCAGTGATATACAAAGGATAGTTAAATAGGGAATCTCAGCTACAAACAGAAGTGCATACATCAGGAATCACCAGCTATTTCAAAAACATAAAATCATGAAAGTGTGATGATGAATAGAGAACTAAACAAAAGAAAGAACTTACACCCAAGGAAATAGACCAAACTGACCAAACAAGACCTCCAGATAATTATGAGTATCTTCAGAGAAATATCACAGGGTAGCAATGCATGAAACAAGGACAGTTGTGTAAAAGAACCAGTTGGAGTTCTTGCAAATGAAAAATGTAATTGTTAAAATAAAAAAATTGGATGAATGTTCCAAGTAGCAGAATGTTCAGATCTAACATCTGAAGTGAGGTAAAAGGTCAGCCTGATGATTTTTCCTAAGTCATGGCACATAGGGATAAGGAGATGTGAAATATGAAAGGTTCGAGGGCAGGGAGTTCACTTCCAGCTTCCAGCTATGACTTTGGGTCAGAGGGTGGAAACTTCCCAGGTTCCATTCAGGTCTCTTATTTTTCATGCACAGGAAGTCCAGTTCTACATCCCACTGAGAGGAGTCCTCTGACTTCAACTCCTGGCTTGATGGGAGGTAAAATCCCAAACCCCTAAGCTTCCCAGTAGTCCCAGAGGCCACCAGTTCAACTCCTTACTGCTAAGGGTTCACTTTCCACCTCTGGTATCTGATCATTTTTCCTTCTAGTCTTTCAAAAGACTATTTTTGAATTAAAAATATATCATCCAGATCTTCTTTGTGTTTAGAGAGAAAATACATGTGTTTCCCACATTTTGATCAAACCCAATGGCAAATCATACTTTCAGATCATTTAAAAATTTTTAAAAATTAATTAGGAATAATTTCAAGCATACACTACAATATGGGGAATAATTTTAGATGCATATGTACTCTCTACAAAAAATTAAATTATATTATTTTGTTACCTTATTGTGTCACTTCTCTCTCAAAAAATATTTAAAATGTTAAATTTAAAATACCACTAAAGCAACAATTCCTTTCTCAAAGGAACCAGTTTCCTGAATTTGACGTGAATGATTTTCATGTATGTTTGTATTCTAGGACAACATATCTCAAACTTTTGGTTTCAGGATACATTTACATTCTTAAAATTTTGAAGACCCCCAAGAGCTTTGGTTTTTGTGATTTCTAAACGTATTTATTTATTAAATAAAAAACCAATAATGTGCCTTTTATATGTTATCACAAGAAGGATTTTATTATTATTATTTTTTTAAATAGATCTTTATTGGAGTATAATTGCTTCACAATACTGCGTTAGTTTCCGTTGTACAACAAAGTGAACCAGCCATATGCATACGTATATCTCCATATCCCCTTCCTCTTGAGCCTCCCTCCCACCCTCCCTATCCCACATCTCTAGGTCATTGCAAAGCACTGAGCTGATCTCCCTGTGCTATGCTGCTGCTTCCCACTAGCTAACTATTTTACATTCGGTAGTGTATATATGTCAATGCTATTCTCACTTCGCCACAGCTTCCCCCTCCCCGCTCCACCGTGTCCTCAAGTCCATTCTCTATGTCTACGTCTTTATTCCCACCCTGCCACTAGGTTCATCAGTTCCTTTTTTATTTTTTTAAGATTCCATAGATATGCGTTAGCATATGGTATTTGTTTTTCTCTTTCATACTTCACTCTGTATGGCAGACTGTAGGTCCATCCACTTCACTACAAATAACTCAATTTTGTTTCTTTTTATGGCTGAGTAATATTCCATTGTATATATGTGCCACATCTTCTTTATGCATTCATCTGTCAATGGACACTTAGGTTGCTTCCATGTCCTGGCTATTGTAAATAGTGCTGCAGTGAACATTGTGGTACATGTCTGTTTTTGAATTATGGTTTTCTCAGGGTATATGCCCAGTAGTGGGATTGCTGGGTCATATGGTAGTTCTATTCTTAGTTTTTTAAGGAACCTCCATACTGTTCTCCATAGTGGCTGTATCAATTTACATTCCCATCAACAGTGCAAGAGGGTTCCCTTTTCTCCACACCCTCTCCAGCATTTGTTTGTAGATTTTTTGATGATGGCCATTCTGACTGGTGTGAGTTGATATCTCATTGTAGTTTTGATTTGCATTTCTCTAATGATTAATGATGTTGAGCATTCTTTCATGCGTTTGCTGGCAATGTGTATATCTTCTTTGGAGAAATGTCTGTTTAGGTCTTCTGCCCATTTTTGGATTGGGTTGTTTTTTTGATATTGAGCTGCATGAGCTGCTTGTAAATTTTGGAGATTAATCCTTTGTCAGTTGCTTCATTTGCAAATATTTTCTCCCATTCTGAGGGTTGTCTTTTCGTCGTTTATGGTTTCCTTCAATCATTCTTAAAGTCCAAAAAAGCATTAATCATTTTTAAGACTGCTAAATTTGCCTGCATTAAAATTTAAAATCTCTACTCATCATAGATGAGTAATTTGTAACTTTTTTAAAGTGAAAAGACAGTTACAAATTAAAAGAGATTGGCATCATACAGAGCTATCCTGGAGTATCCAAAATATATCCCAAACTTCTACAATCAATTAAAAACAAATACAAGGGGGCTTCCCTGGTGGCGCAGTGGTTGAGAGTCCGCCTGCCGATGCAGGGGACACGGGTTCGTGCCCCGGTCTGGGAAGATCCCACATGCCGCGGAGCGGCTGGGCCCGTGAGCCATGGCCGCTGAGCCTGCGCGTCCGGAGCCTGTGCTCCGCGACGGGAGAGGCCACAGCAGTGAGAGGCCCGCGTACCGCAAAAAACAAACAAACAAACAAAAAAAGTAAATACAAGGGATCCAATAGAAAATAGACAAAAGATATGAACAGGGATTTCACAGAAGAGGAAACACAAATGGCCAGTAAATTTAGGAAACGAAGTTCAGCCCTGCTTGTGATCTAGCAAATGCGAATTAAAATCACACTGGAGAGACACCATTTCACACTCACTGTATCGGTCTAAATGAAGAAATGAGATAACAGCAAGTTTTGATGACAATATAGAGTAAAAAAGAAAAAAAAATCTTATACACAGCTGGTAAGACCCTAAAATGGTACAAGCCCTTTGGGGACAGTTTGATTTTATCCTTTAAATCTGAAGATGCACAAACTCCATTTCTTTTTTTTCTTTTTTCTTTCTTTTTTTTTTTTTGCGGTACGCGAGCCTCTCACTGTTGTGGCCTCTCCCGTTGCAGGTTGCAGAGCACAGGCTCCGGACGCGCAGGCTCAGCGGCCATGGCTCACGGGCCCAGCCGCTCCGCGGCATGTGGGATCCTCCCGGACCGGGACACAAACCCACGTCCCCTGCATCAGGCAGGCGGACTGTCGACCACTGCGCCACCAGGGAAGCCCAAACTCCATTTCTAATTAGCAACCATAGAGAAATTCTTGCACGTGCCCCAAAAATATGTACAAGTGTTCACAGAAACAAAATACCTTGAAACAGAAAAGGAATGATAAATTGTGGTATATTCATACCATGCAATGCTATACAGTCTTTAAAACATAGTTGAAGACACTAATATGAGAATCACACAAACATAATAATGAGTTAAATAAACAAGTCAAAGAAGAATAACTATTGAAGGATCCCATTTATATAAAGACCAAATATAATGGTAAAATCTAGATGATGGGCACATGGGTGTTCACTGTATAGTTTATTTTTGTTTGTTTGTTTTTTTGTTTTGCGGTACGCGGGCTTCTCACTGTTGTGGACTCTCCCGTTGCGGAGCACAGGCTAGGCTCCGGACGGGCAGGCCCAGCGGCCATGGCTCACGGGCCCAGCCGCTCCATGGCATGTGGGATCTTCCCGGACCGGGGCACGAACCCATGTCCCCTGCCTCGGCAGGTGGACTCTCAACCACTGCTCCACCAGGGAAGCCCCACTGTATAGTTTTTGAACTTTAAGGTGTGCTTGAAAATATTTGCAATAATATATTATGGGAAACCAGTTTGTCATTAAATAGAGGACCTGGCTAGATATCTTGCTATCAAATATACCAGTTTTTATAACCTTTGAAACCACTTCTAAAAATCTGTTCTAAATGTAGAAGCCATAATAAGGGGAAATTTTAAGCAACTTACATACCTACCAATAAGGGAATAACCAAGAAAACTTTATATTCACCATCTCTTTATTGAAACTCTCTCTCTTCCTTGACCCAGTGTGAGTCTGGAGGTGAGGCTAGGGAGGGAATGGCACCCAAAGATGAGATTCCCTCTGATATTCTACCCATTGTCCTTGGACTTGGGCATATCGACACTCTCTGCCCTCTTCCAGGTGGCTCTTCCATCCCTCAAGCAAATCGACCTCACTGGGACCCTCCATCACTGCCATTTTTGTCTAAATTCTAAGGTGAAGTAATTTTCATTCTCAATTTACATGCTGTTGAGTAAAATCTGTAGCACTATCACCTTTAAGTAAACATGATGCAGCCATCATCATCATCATCAGTCCCAGTATAAATTAAATGGTCTAAAAACTCAAGCAAATTTTCTTTTTTCTCAATGGCTGATATTTATTACATGAGTGCTTTGAATTGCCACATGTTTACATAATGAATCTTTTTTCTTTTCCTTCACAGTTAACGGAGTTAAAATAACTTCTGTTAACAATCAAGCCAATAGGTCTTGGAGCCAGTTAAAACTTCCCTCGAAATAAGGATATAGACAAGGAATATGAAGAATATAGGTGGGGGATATGAAGAATACCTGTCTCCCCTGTCTCTTATATAAAAATATAAGTAATTTTTACTTTTGTCATGAGGTAACAAGGAATCTAGTCTTGAGACTGTAATAGAATATCAATGTATTAGACAAGATCATTGCACAAATTGGGGCTAGAAACTACTCAGGATATAGGACAAAAATCAGAGATGTAGAGACTTGGTTGCACTATTATTTACAATAGTGATAAATTGGAAACTAAATACCCAGTGGTTAAGTGAATGTTGGCAAATGCAAATGATAGATGTTAGAAAGTTATAAATTTTTTTTTTTTTTTTTTTTTTTTTTCC